TTGGTACCGGGGATCAAACTCAGGTCCTTGCGCTTGCCCAGCAGGCAGCAAAACCACTGAGCTAAATCCCTGGTCCCTTAAATATATTTTGAAAACAAATTTGTTGGGGGGAATTCATATTTTATGTAATAATTTATATGTTTGGGGTTTTTTTTGGTACCAGGGATCGAACTTGAGACCTTGTGCTTTCGAGGTGGGCACCAGAACCACTGAGTTAAATCCCCGGCCCAACATTTTATATGTTTAATTTTTATTTTTATTAGCCCACGTTTGTTTGCAGTACATGATAATTACATTCATTGTGGACTATTGGTGAATGTACAAAATTTTTCATTCCCCCTTCCCTTCCTCTCTTCTGAAAACAATTTGTAGCATGGCAATATGTGTTTCATTTAATTAATTAGATTAAATATTGGGGTCTAGTGACAAGTCTAATGGCTACAATAATATCAAAGTTGTGATGATCATAAGCAATATTTCAAGATTTCTGTGACAACTATAATGTGTCACGAACATATCTATGATTTCTACTTCAGATAGTGACATAAATGCCCATTAAGAATAGAAAGAGCCGGGGTCAGGGATTTAGCTCAGTGGCGCCGTGCCTCCTCCTAAGCACAAGGTCCTGAGTATGATCCCCAGCACCAAAAAAGAAAAAGAAGAAGAAAAAAGCAAATCTCTCCACTTCCTTCCACTCCCGGCATGGCCCCGAGTTCCTTTTACTTACTAGAAGTTCTGCTTAGTGACTTTCTCACTAAATTGTATTCTCAGAGAAGCCGCAACCTCTCATGAGCTTGTCAGTACTTGTGTTTTTGGTTTTTTTGGAGTTTTTTAGACAAGGTTTCCGTATGTAGTTCAGGCTGGCCTTGAACTCACAAAAATCTTCCTGCCCCAGCCTCCCAAGAGCTGAGATTACAGGCAAGGGCCACCAGGCCCAGCTTTTCCAGACTTGGTCATCTCCAGGACGTGCACTGAGTGGCACACCCACCCTTATGGTTCTGGGGCTGCAGGAGTAGGAGTCTCAAGGGTTAGAAGGGAAAGCTGCATCCTGCTGAGGCCCCGCCTAAGTGTCCGGAGCATTTCTACATACATTTTGGGGGAAAATCATCGCATAATTAAAGTATGACTATAGCTGTCTAAGGCCCTTGTTCAAGAGCTGGCTATGGCGTGTGGAAACTTAACTCTGTTATGACTCTGGTCATAGCTGAGGGCTCAATGGTCTGCGAAGCTGTGGTGCTCAGCGGTAAGGCAGCATTGGCTGAAGACGTCCTGGCTCCAAAGAGGGCAGGCGTAACACCAAGAGAAAGGTCTCACCTGGGGAGGGGCTCCTCCCTCATCTGCCTTGCTCACCCCAGCTACCCAGGTGCGAAGGGCTCCTTCCGCCCTCATCAGCATGAGATTTGCATCCCACAGGATCAGACATAGGATCATAGCCCCCCAAGGTCACCCCACTGGGTGTCGGTTGGTTCTGTATAACGGGGTGATAAATTCTCCTCTTTGGCTTTGTTTATTTTGTCTTAAAAAAAACAACAGGAAAAAAGCAGTAAGAATTTTCTTTTTATCAGCTCCGCCTTCTTGGCTGAGTACAGAGAACACAAGAGGCAAAGGGGCAGGGAGGTGGCACCAGGAGGTCCCAGAAGTCCTGGGAAGGGCAAGGAGTAGACAGGTGGCCCAGCACATCCCTTGCAATGGGGAAAATGTGTGCAAAGTGACAACGAAAGAACAAGGTGGTGAAATGCTAACGATTCAGGAAGTGATATCAGAGATGAGATATGAAATATTATATCTCCTGATCTGTTATATGTCTGACGTCCCAAGCTTGTGTTCCCTCAAAATTGAAGAATGAATTCTAGGAACAACGGAAGTTAAGAATAGGAAGATACTTATTGATAGGATAGCTCCTGAGAGGCAGGAGAGGTCCTGAATGGGTAGCCGGGGACCCGGGGCTACAACTTGGACCACGGGCCTGATCAACCAATAAGGTTACAAGTACAGTCACTGAGGTAACGGCGATCCAGTGGGGAAACAAGTCACGTAAGCAAGTGTGGATGGAAAGAACAAAGATTCTCCCAGGAAGTGGTGGGTCCAGAGGTCCTGGTCACCCACCGGGGTGGCCGATGTCTATGCAGGCTTCATTAGGCCCAGCGTTTGTCCTGGGAGGAAGTATGCAGGTGTGGTCAGCTTGTCCTTATCCTGAGGCCTGGCCACCCACAGATGTGTCTCTGGTTGCCACTGTGGTGGTTTCACCTTTGTCCTGACCCTCGCTAGGACCTGGCCCTATCTGCCTGTAATATTTCTACCTAGCTCAGCTGTAATACTAGGCCCTCATAAGGATATCAATTCCTCCCCTCCCCATGGAGCTGCCCCACCTCCTGTCAACCTGACCCACTAGGACGTCTGTCCCTTGGGCCTGGTGCCAGCAGCTAAAGGTCAGCACCAAAATTACTTCAATTCATAGGAGCTCATGACGCACCCAGTTCCAAGTTCAGCAGTGAGTGGGAGTCACAAAGCACGGCTCCTGCTGCCTAGCAGCTTCCAGCTTAGTGGGACAAGTGGAGGGCAGGGCACAGTGCAAAGGACACCAGCTGTACCCCCGCCCTGACTGGCAAGGGAACCACAGAACATGGCGCATCCGGGTTCTGGACTAGCAGGAGGGAGAGACTGGGACTGAAGCCTCCGGAGAACCATGGCCGCTTATCCTGCAGCCCGATGCACCATTTGCTCCCAGCTCTGTCTGCTATGGGTGACCCGAGCTCCGGACACATGGCCCGGGCTTCCCGTGTAAACACTGCCTGGAAACCAGGGCAGCAGCGGAGCTGCAAGGCGCAGGCCTCCCACGGCGGACCTCGTCACCTCTCCAGGTCTTTGGTGGACCGGAGGCCCCTTCTCCCTACCCAGGGCAGGGGTCTGAACATGTGAACATACGGCAGAAGGCCCAGACTGGGGTGTGTGTGGGGGGGGTGCTGGGGTCTGAACCCAGGGCCTTTCTACTGAGCTACAGTCCAGCCCTTTTTCAATTTGTTGGCTTTAAAATTTTTTATGATTATTGTTTGGATTTTTGAGACAGGGTCTCGCCATGTAGCTCAGGGTGAATCTGAACTAAGTAGCCTAGGTTGGCCTCGGATCCAAAAGGCTCTTCCTACCTCAGCCTCCCAAAGCTGGGGTCACAGTGCTGCGCCACCACTCTTCGCTTCCCCTTTTTCAGATGGTCTCGCTAAGTCGCTCAGGCTGGGCTGGAATTTAGGATCCTCCTGCCTCAGCCTCCCAGAGTGCTCGGACTACTGGCACAAACCACCATGCCTGACTCAACTCAACTCAGGGTTTTTCCTGCTACTACCCTATGGTTAGAAAACCTGGGGGCCAGAGAACCAGGCCCTTTGAGGGTGGTGGGGGAGAAGGTACCATAGCAGGGGGCTCAGGATGCTCAAGGCCATCACCCGGCCACTTGGCAGCCCCGGGCAGGGAGGCGGCCGGGGCACAGCTTGAGTTGCCCCGGGAGAGGAGTCAGCACCAGGGCCAGAGTGAGGTGAGGGTCCCACTTCAGACCCGGAGTCAGATGGGACAAATGCGCCCAGGGGTTTTGACCGCTCACAGACCAGTCGGGGAAACCTGAAAGATCTTTATTTAAAAACAGAAGAAAAAAAGCTTTGGTATTTCAAAACCCAGCAATCATCAACCACTAAGAAGTTAAACACCCCAAAGCCCGAGAGTACAAAACCACAGACACCCACGGGCTCAGGACAGGGATCAGCGGGCAGAGCAGACCCAGGTGACAGCGGGCACTGTGCCCAAGGCCACGCCACGGCCGGGCATCTCTGCCAGCGTTCACTGCGAGATCCCAACTAAAATAAATTAGAAATCTATTCATGAAAGAACACATTGAATGAGGAAAAGAACACAAATTTCCTAAAGGAGAGTCTTTACAGGAGGGGCTGTGAGGCCGGGGATTTAGCTCAGGGGTTTCGCCGCCTGCTGTGCAAGCGCAAGGACCTGAGTTCGATCCCCAGCACCAAAAAAACCCAAAAAAACAAAAAAACAGAGGGGCTGTTTCCTGGGACAGGAGAAAGGGGGAGTGGAAGGAGGGAGTTCGATTTCAAGCATTTTCCCAATCAGTTGTTCACTCTGTCGGGCAGGCCAGGCTCCTCCCCACACAGCACTCGTCCTTCCAAAGCCAACTCTGGCGCCCACCAGCACTTCGGCATCACTGTCCCCGACAAGGCACAAAGGGTGGGTGCTCCACAGGACCCCGCTCGCAGCAATGGGGCTCCCAGTGCTGTCTGTGCAAATGGTGGCTGCCGGTAGGGGCCCGGCTCCCTCAGACACTGGGATCGTCCTGTGCAGCGAAGGAGACAAACATTAGCATCCGCTGCCACCCCGGGCCAGACCCGGCCTGCAGCCCTGGGCCAGGCCACAGCTACTGTGGACTTAGTGGCCTGGGGACCTGCTCGGGCCGACCCAGGGTGGCCCAGCTCCGGCATGTGTGAGGGGCTTGGGTCAGTCCCCAGTTTGGCTGTTCCTGGACTGTGTGGGGAACCGAGATCGTGCACCAGAGCACGGGGGGCGGGGGGCACACCGGCAGGGAACCTGTGGGGCTCATACGACCCCCTTGCTACTCCGGCTGGGGGGGGATGCGACCCAGGGAAGACCAGCTGCGCTCGGGGCTGTTTGTCCTCCCTCCTTCTCCTGCGGGTCGGTCCCACTTCCTCTTCCGAGTCCTGGCTGTGGCCCACAGGCCACAGAGGCTCTGTGGGTGGGACAGGGCCCTTCTCCTGCCTGGGCCTGGGCCTGGGCTCACCTGTGTCCACTCAGGCACTGGTGCCAGGAACTGAACCCACCCAAGGTGCTCTGCCACTGAGCCACGGCCCCAGCCTCATTATTATCATTACTAGCCATGTCCCTGTGTCACTACGGTGTGACAAGGCAGACACCAGGATGGGAAAGGAAGAGGCAGGAGAGGAGGGGTGGGAGAGGAGAGAGGGAACAGCATGTGGGTGGAAGGGAGCAGGCAAGAGGAGGGCGGGGAAGCGTGGCTCCTTCCCAGTCCCGCCGCTGCCGCCTCTCCTGAGTGGTGGCACAGGAGGCCACTGGCAGGCGGAGGACAGCCTCCCCGGAGACACCTGTGCAGTCCCCAGGATTAAGCAAGTGACAATCCCGCAGCAGCTGTGCTCAAAACTGCAGCTTCTTGAGGGTAACGATGTTCAGGAAATGGGAGGGAATGGATGCTACCTGCTACCCACAGCCCTGGATGCCCACCCGGCTAGAGGCCACACTGAGGGACCGGCCTCCGAGGTGCTGCACAGGCCCTGCTCAGAGCCTGCTGCTTCTGTGCAGGCAGAGGGCCTGCTGTGGGAGGCAGCGGATGCACCTGTCCTCCATTCCCCAGTCCCCCCCTTAGACTGTCGGTAATCTTTTTTTTTTTTTTTTTGGTACCGGGGATCGAACTCAGGTCCTTGCACTTGTGCAGCAGGCAGCGAAACCACTGAGCTAAAGCCCCGGCCCCTATTTTTTTAAGTTTTGAGACAGGGTCTTGCTATGTAGACCAGGCTGGCCTCGAACTCACAGCAACCTTCCTGCCTCAGCCTCCCGAGTGCTGAGATGACAGGTGTGCATCACCATGCCCGGCTCAAAGTCACTCTTGGACGGCCTCTCAGACCACACTTGCTACTCTCCCTGGGGCTGAGAGCCAAGGGATGGCCTTAGGACCCTGTTCCTGCCCAGGCTGCCCCCGGCTGCCCCAAGACTGAGTGGATGCAGACCTCAGGCTCCCAGGATAGGGGCCGCCTACCTTGCTCCTGAAGAGGGGCTTGGCTCCAGGCCCACAGTACTCGTTGTAGATGAGCTTGAAGAGAAAGAGGTGGAAGAGGGTGATGAGGGAGGCCACGCTGAACCAGAAGAGGAAGGGCAGCCCGGGATCCTGCTGGGCCATGTGCTCATCGTGGGCCAGGATGGCCTTGAGGTGCAGTGTGTGCCGCAGGTCCTGCAGGTGCGTGAGGTCAGTGGAGATGTAGAGCAGTGGGGTGATGGGCTGCGTCACCATGATGGAGAAGATGTGGCCGCCGGGTGCCGCAGTCAGCTCCACAGGCTCCTGCAGGCAGCCTGCCTCGCAGGCGTAGATTTTGCCGGGCTGCCCTCTGGCCTCCACGGCCAGGTGCAGGTAGGGCCTGCCCTCGGCGTCCGCCAGCACGGCCAGGTCGAGGTGGTCGTTCTTGTAGCGGATGCCATGCAGTGCGTAGCTGTTGTGCAGCACGTCTGGGTCGGCCTGGAACTGCAGGTGGTTCTCGGTGAACTGTAGCCCCCCGAAGCTGAGCACCATGCCCTGCAGGATGCCCGGTGCGCCCGCCTTCACCAGCCCCTTGCAGCCGCGCTTCTGGAGTGTCAGCCTCCACAGGTCAGAGAGCTGCAGGATCTGCTGCACTGAGCCCAGCTGGCCAGGCCACAGGTTCTCGGCATGCATGGTGGCGTGGCCGCTGAAGCAGTGGTCTTCATAGCTGAGCGTTGCCTCCATCTGCTCTCGCTCCCGGCGGCTCAGGGAAGGGCTGAGCAGTGGGGCTGGCGAGCAGGACAGCATGTAGTACAGCGTCAGGTTCACGGTCAGGCCGGACGGTGTGTGGGCATCTGTGATCTTCTTCATTTCCACCCCTGGAACACCACACACAGGGCTTCGTGTTAGGAGGGCCCAGCAGGGGCAGAGGAAGGGAACAAGGATGGGGGCAGAGGAGTGAAGTAGGTCCCAGCTGGGCGTGGTGGTGCAAGCTTGTGATCCCAGCACTAAGGAGACTGAGGCAGGAGGACTGCCAAGCATTTGAGGCCAGCCTGAGGTACATAGCAAGACCTGGTCTCAAAAAACCAAATAGGAGGGCCGGGGACTTAGCTCAGTGGTACCACACCTGCCTTGTAAGTGCAAGGTCCTGAGTTCGATTCCCAGTACAAAAAAAAAGAAGAAAAGAAATCTGTGACACCACACATTTAGCCATGACTTGGCCCCAACTGGATGTTCAGGGCCCTCGTGCCAGGCATGCCGTCCATGCCTGGCCAGTCTTGGCCATTTCTCCATCCCTCCAACTAGTCCTGTGGCTTTAAATGACATCTCCCAATTTTGTAACAGTTTGGGTTGACGCATACACATACTTGGGGTGTCGCAGAGACATCCCCCAAATCGGAATGAACTCGGAACTCAGACAGCTATCGGTCCCCTGGGTGTCTCCAGCTGGACACGGGACAGGTAACCTGAAGCCGACAGGGCGTGGACTGTCAGTCCCCAACCAAGCCTTGTCTAATGCGTCTCCCAGGAACCGAGCAAGCCCCAAACCCTCACTCCCACAGCCCTCGCCTGCCCCGGGGGCTGCACCTCCAAAAGCATTGGGACCCACCCACTTCTGTCCCTGTCCAGTCACAACCTTGGTCCCAGCTACCTTCCCCTCTTGCAAAAACCTCTCACCTGCTCTCCATGCAGATTCAGTGCACGGAGCAGGGAGCTCTTCAAATGTGATCAAGGGCCGGGGATTTAGCTCAGTGGTTCCGACACCTACCTCACAAGTGCAAAGTCCCAAGTTCGATCCCCGGTACCAAAAAAAAAAAAAAACAACACACACAAATGTGATAAGACACATCTCTGCCTGCTTCCCATTCCTCTAGGAAGAAAACTTAGTCTTCACCAAGGCCTTCATGGACAGCCACCCTCTCCTTGATTAGCACCTGCCGGCCACAGGAGATCCAGTTCCTGCTCCAGGGCGGTCTCCAGCCTGCCCAGCCTCCTCCCTGCCACTGGACTGCCTGATATTCTCCTCAGCTAGGGTCTCCTCCTCAGAGAGCCCCCAAAGACGGACCTAAGCTAAGCCCTCCAATACACACACTCCCATTTCCACTCCACTGACCCTCATTTTTAACTTTTTTTTTTTTGGTACCAGGGATCAAACTCGGGACCTTTCACTTGTGAGCCAGGCACTGGAACCACTGAGCTAAATCCTCGGCCCTTTAACTCATTCTTAAAGCTGTCTTAAATCTCACTTTTCTGATGTCTACCTGCCTGTTAACCTGACTTAACCAGGAATCAGGAACCAGGAACTCCATTTTGTTTCACTTGTTTCCCAGCCCCAGCCAGCAGCAGTCAATAAATATTTGAATGAACTACACTCTCTTTTCTTTTTTTTTGGTACCGGGGATCGAACTCAGGTCCTTGTGCTTTCGAGGCAGGTGGTGGAACCACTAAGCTAAATCCCGGGCCTTAACTACACTCTCTTTGAGCAACCAAACTTGAGTCCAAACAACTAAAAACCAAACATGGGTCCAGACAACTGAAATCCTCACTGCTGGCAGGATTCTCTTCAACAGCCAAGGGGAGAAGTTTTCATTTGGCGGGACCAGTCCAATTGCTGAGAGGGCTCTCCATGCCCAAGGGCTGGGCCGAGAAGCCCAGACCTGGCCCAGGCAGACCTTGGGTCCAGCGGAGGTCTGCAGTGCCCCTGCTGATCCACCCTTTAGGAAATGACCCTAAAAAGTGCCACCTACTAAAATCAGGCCTCACCCTCAAGCACAAATAACAAGGCCCAACCTTCACACTCAGTTTTTCATTTAAATCTCATAAAAGCCCTTTGAAGTGGGTGACACTGTTAAATACAGGCCCAGAAAGCTAAGACCAGGAATCCAAGGTCACACAGCTACTAAGTGGCTGAGCACAGATTTAGCCCCCAGTCAAACGCCATGCCCAAGTTTACGCCTTCAGTGTCACCTCTGCAGTCCTCAGAGGGACATCTCGAAGGTGGACCGTGTACCCTTTCATGCAGGGTGTGTACCAGGTACCAAGCACTCGCCAGGCCTCACCTGGGCTGAAGAGCTGAGCCCAGAGGTGCTGGTGGTCCTGAAGCAGCTCAGCCGCTGGCATTTCCAAGAGCTCCAGCATTTCCTTCCGGGCCAAGTCCTGGAGGACCTTGAGCTCCTTGGCTGCTCTGCTTTTGAGCACCTGGGGACTCATGGGGTCCGAGATGTGCACAACCCACAGCACCGTCTCGTCCAGCTGCGACCTGGGAGCCACCTGGAGCCGGTTCACAAGCTTCTTGCCGGCTATCACGACCAGGTGCACTTGGCCCGCGGGAGAGAGGGTGGATCGGCCGGAGTAGAGGAGGAACTGATGGTCTCCGACCTTCTCCAGGGTACTAGTGAAGGCCTTGGGGAGCGGGCCGGCAGTGGTGCCCACAATCTGCAGCGCGGCCACACGCTCCGTGGGGTTGTTGAGCTGGATGCGCTGCAGATAGACGTGGGGTCGGCCCCGGTGCGCCAGGAAGTCCTCCTGCAACAGGACGCAGTCGCGGCCGGCGCCGGCGGAGAGGCCGGAGACAGAGGCAGGACCCCCGCCTGCGGCGGCGGCAGGGCCGGGGCCCGGAGCCCCGAGCTGCAGGCAGCGCACCCGGCGCAGCAGCCCCTCCCGCAGCAGCAGCACCGCCTCGCCCGCCTCGGCCAGCACGTTCAGCGGGCGCAGCTGCACCCAGGGAGCGAAGTCCGGCGCCACGGCGGGCTCCCGCTCCCCCGGGGTCACCCACAGCCGGTTGGCGGCCACGTCCAGCGCCAGGAAGCCGTTGCCCACCATGGCGGGCACTCCGGGGCCCAGCGGAACGGCCTCGCCCCGCTCCCGCAGGCCGCGCCAGGCGCGAGTGGCCGCCTCCAGGCAGGCGGAGGGCTCGGCGGCGCCCGGCTCGCCGCGGGCCCAAGACGGCAGATGCAGGCCGCCCGCCGCCCGCCGCGCCCCGGAGCCCGCGAACCAAAGCAGCAGCAGCACGAGTCCGAGCAGACCAAGGAGGCGGCGGGCCCAGCTGCTCGACAGCAGTCCCGGCAGCCCCTTCAGCCGCTGCTGCAGCCACATCGGGCCGGTGGGCGCGGGCGACGGCGCGGGGGCGGCCGCGGGGCCTGCCGCCCAGCCCACCCGCCCGGCCGCCCCCGCCTCACTCCCGCGCCTAGACTGCGACTCCCACCGCGACGCCCGCCTCGGCCGCCTCTGCAGTCTCCCGTGCCACTTCCTCCTGCCCCGACTTCCCTCCTGCCGTCAAACGACCCCGACCGTAAACCACAGCCGAGCGATTTGCGACAGATAGAAAGGGGGGAAGGGCCGAGGCAGAGGGCGGGGCGGGAGGAGGCAGAGCCACAGAGGGGCGGGACCACTCGCTGTAGAGTCCCAGATAGTGAAGTCCAAGGGCATGCCGGCACCTGGGGAGTTCTGAAGCATTCAATTCACTTAAAAAAAAAAATCACAAAGCCAGCCAAACCGATCACATGTTGGGACCCGTTCGCTACTGATGGATTCAACAGCCCTAAAATAAAAAAAATTAAAACAATTACTGTTTCTGTAAAAATAATCCTTAGTTGGAAAAAAAAAAAAACTGGAACAAAAATTCTCACTGGAAACGATTTCCTAGGAAATATTTTGTTGATAACTCTTCCAAGCCTGTCTGGCCACATGGACACGAGATGGAGACAGAAATCCAGCCCAGGACTGTTAGTTGCTCTTCTTGATATCAACTCTGAGTCTCACTAAGTAATATAGGACATTAAAGCTTCAGACTTTGAAGATGTCTTTAAATCGTAAATTATCAATGCCATAAAAATTTTTTTAACTCTGTGTGGTGGCACGTGCCTGTAATCCCAGTACTCTGTAGGCTGAGGCAGGAGGATCTCGGTGAGTTTGGGGCCAGGCTGGGCTACATAGTGAGTTCAAGGCCAGCCTGCACTACAAAGCATGACCCTGTCTGAAAAAAACAAAATTTTTTTTTGCTTTGTATCTTGGCAAAAAAGTTCTGTTTGAGCACAGGGCTACACAATGGGCAACTGTTTCCACTTTGGTTTCTGGACATTCCAAAGCCAGACAGGGTTTCACAGTTGTTGGAAATTAAAGGGCCACTTAAGGTGGCTTCTTGTGTGCTGTGAGCAGACACTGAAATGTTTGCAGAGGTTGAGGGCCAGTGCCTGTTGGAAGATGCCTGTCTGGCTGAGCCTGATGCGAGGGTGTGCTAGGATTGTGTGTGTGTGTGTTTGTGTGTGCGCGTGGGCGTGATGCTGGGGATGGAGTCCAGGCACTCAGGCATCATATGCCTCAAAGGCAAGGACTCTACCACTGAGCTACATTTCCCAGCCCTGATACCTTTTATTTTAAAAAAGATTATCAGGACGGGGGATTTAGCTCAGTGGTTCCGCCACCTGCCTGGAAAGCTCAAGGTTTTGAGTTCGATCAGCGGTACAAGAAAAAAAGATTGTCAGCTGGGAATGATGGTGTCCACCTATAGTCTCAGGTACTTGGGAGGCTGAGGTGGGAAGATCGCTTGAGCTCAGGCCAGCCTGGGCAAAACAGCAAAACAGACTGCTCAAAAAAAAAAAATTATCAGGCCGGGGATTTAGCTCAGTGGTTCTGCCACCTGCGTCACAAGCTGAAGGACCCAAGTTCGATCCCTGGCACCAAAAAAAAAAAAAAAAAATTGTGAAATAATTGACCTATGTGGGTTAGCCATATTAAAAACAAGGATATTGGGGCCGGGGA